CCTCCGGTGTCGACCCGGTCACGGCACAAGCGTCCTCCGACGGTGGTCCAGCCACTGCACGAACGTCCTCTAACGGCGATCCTGTTGGTTCTACGTCTTCTTCCGGTGGCAGTCCAGTGATCGTCCAGCCGTTCTCCGACGGGCCACGTCAGCCGCGCCCTAGCCGTCCACGGTATGTCTCCATCCCATATGTGAAAGGGGTCAGTGAGCCCATATCACGATTTTTGCGTGCCCACAACATTGTCGTAGGACACTCGTCAAGAAACCTAAGGAACACTCTGGTTCACCTAAAGGATACAACCCCAAAGGAGATGAGAAAAGGCGTCGTTTACGAGGTGGAATGTGAATGTGGAGATGTGTACATAGGGGAGACAGGAAGGCCTAAGTCAGTGAGAATGAATGAACACGCCCAAGACATCCAACACGGACGCAGATTGAAATCGGCACCGGCACGACACGCAAGTGAGTGTTCTGGTCAGATGCGCCCTTTGGAGGCAAGAACAGTAGCCTATGTCAGTGATTGGAGGAAGAGGACAGTGCGCGAGGCCATCGAAATAAAAGAGAAGGATCCAGATATGAACAGAGATGTTGGAAAATTCGCACTGAGCCCAATTTGGGATTTGCCTCTAAAAAACGCAAGATGATATTCGTTCCTCTCATCACTGTAGTATGAGTGGACTGAATTAAAAACTAATGACGCCGAATGTGTTCTGTGTATAACTTCTTGTCTGTGTGTTTGTATGTATTTTATAGTTAAATTTACAGCATACTTTGATAGGAAATAGTGAGTGTATCTAGATATTCTTAACTTGGAATCTCCTACATGGTTGATAGCGCGCGGGGATTTGAATTTTTTGTCTGTGAATTTAATTTAGAATTTTGGGTATCGCTGCAATGTGAGCTATACTTATGGGTTATTCAAGGCTATTTATTGTAGTTGTCCAGTGACCAAGGCCAAACAATATTGGCCGAAATATTTGGACTTGCATACGCAATACAATCCCAGTGAATTCCGATAAAGTTTTATATCATACAAACATAAACCTGGGAAAAATATGACTCTGAAACAACTTGGCTATTTATGAAGATATTGGACTAAAACTCGCTAGAACAGTTCATCAGTGTGTGCTCTCCCAGTAAACATGCCGACGTCGGCCCGACGTCGGGCCGAGGCTCGGCCCGACGTCGGCCCAGCGTCGGTTCAACCTCGGCCCGACATCGGCTGGACGTCGGATATGCCCGCATGTTCCGACGTCCAGCCGAAGTCCAGCCGACGTCGAGCCGACGTCGGGCCGAGATCGTTTGCCGAGGTAGACGAGATCGTTCGTCGTTGGACCGACGGGGCCGACGTCGGCATGTTTATTGGGACAACGCGCCAAAAATATCAACCGGCGGCGGGATTCGAGCCCCCCAGTCGCCGACGTCTGCATGTTTACTGGGACAACACGCCAAAAGCATCAGCCGGCGATGGGATTCGAACCCCGCGTCAATAGAATGCGAGGTTAGTGCGCTAATCACTACACCACGCAGCCAGCTAACGAGTTTGGTTTGTTTTGTTGGGTTATGCCCTTTCGGTCTGACAAGACCATTTCAGAGCCGGAAGGATCATAGGATGAAGACATTGGTCTTCTTGGCGAGCACCCTGAGTCCAGTTCATATAGAGTCCCTGGTCCCATTGCTGTTACGTGACACTTATTGGAAAGGGCGATCCCACAATGGATTCATATAGCCACTCTTACACACCTGCACCAACGTTTCCCAAAGTGTCCCTTTGATAAGTGGCACTTTGGCAAAGTGACACTTGCCGACTGGCCTTTCTACATGAACTGGGCCTGGCCCTGGTGAGTTGCCGGGGCTGAGCCTGACCAAAAGGCCGAGCAGCCCCCAAGCACTCACCGCACCCGGCTACGGGCGAGCTCGGCTTACAGGCACTCCCAAATGGGATAAAGTTTCCCGTCCAGTCCGGATCAGGGGGTTGCGGCGTGGAGGAAGATTTGAGTTTCCTGAGGATATTTTGAATACAGAAGCTCTTTATGAAACATGAAACATGTATTTAATATTATTTTAACGGTCAAAACAGCGGCCGATGTCGGTCCGACGTCGGCCCGACGTCGGCTGGACCTCAGCAATTGATCTCGGTCCGACGTCGGCCCGACGTCGGCTGGACCTCGGCTGGACGTCGGAACATGCGGGCATATCCGACATCCAGCCGACGTCGTGCCGAGGTTGGACCGACGTCGGGCCGACGTCGGCATGCTGATGCCGAGTTGCCGACGTCACCCCGACGTCGGCCGACGTCGGGCCGACGTCGGCATGTTTACTGGGCTATCACATATAGTCCGATTTTTTTTTGCGAAAAATGAAAGACTTTCTGAAAAACAATAAAAAATATACTTTTTTGTAATTGTAAAACATATTTTTCAAAATTTTCAAAATTTCGAAAACTCGAGACCGCAGTTTCATAGCTACCTGTACTTGTAGTCCACTGATGCAAATAAATTGGATCTAGCTTTAAAACTGAGCTCTTGAGAGGGTTTGTCGTAATTCATTATTTTGCATCAAATCGGCCGACATGACGTCTTTCTAACGTCATTTCCGGCCAAACTATAATGGTAGTTAGGAAGTTGAAATTTTAATACAAGGTGTCAACTTAATGCCGCTGAGAATACCGCAAGTTTCGTGTTGATCCCTCGAACGGCTTAGAAGATATTGCCGAACAACGGGAGGCCGGCTCTGTAGAGCCCCCGCCCCTACTCATGCGTGGTCGGTGCTTTATAATTATCTCTGCGTTTTATCTGTTCTTGCGAATGACGAAGAGAATAACTCAAATCAAAAGTGAAATATACACGACGCTCTCGAAAAAGCTTGCCTTCCTGACTAAACAAGCTGTTAATTGGACTACCAATAGGTACACCGGTTATATTTTAACTTACATATCGATGTGTTTTCCCCACTCGCTCCATTCTTTTTTATAACTTTTCTTTACAAAAGTGAAGTTGATCTTTGTATTAGTGTTGCCAAATTTTCAACTTTGATTAATCACCATATCCAGAGGATCAAATCAGACCTCTCACGCTGTTCTGAGCGGCCGGAGAGTGTAAAACAGCCCATGCGCGATGATCGAATCCGGATGGCTGGGTCTACTTACCCTCATGTCCGACTGCTCCCGTCACCGCACCTGTGTTTTTCAGGTTGCAAAATATCGTGGGAAAACGTAGACGTAGGTTTGCTTGAATTTCTTTAGCTCTGCTAATATTGCCCCTACCACGCATTTATTAACCTTCCAGGCGGTGGGGGGGGGGGCATTTTTTGCCCCCCCCCCCTTTTAGTTTTTTATATCTCCAGAACCGCTGCGCCGATCGTCACCAAACTTTCAGTACTCCCCCGTGAATAGCTATTGCACATCGTGACAAAAAAAAGAAAAATCCAAAGACTATGATAGGTTGGCCGCTAATGACGTCAGAGTGACGTCATTTCTGTCATTTTTGACCCAAAAAAAGGTTTCGCGGGAAGAGCTGTCAGGCCTACAGCTTTAGAGATACAAAAAAATGTTTCAACATAAAAGGTGTACTGTTATCTCAGATTTTTGAATTTTTGGATTTTGACCCCCAAAAATAAAAAAATATAATAGCCGAAAAATCCAAAACGTTTTTTGAATAAAAAAAACAGAGTATTTGTGATAGTCCCTACCGCCTTCTATCTACATACCAAATTTGAGATCGATACGTCTTTTTTTGGCCAAGTTATAGCGCAAAAACTGTTCAAAATTGATGACGTCAAATTTTCAAACTCAATTGTTAGCAATTCTAGACCTCGTAGCGCAAAACAAAGACCACCATTAGACTCCCCGTGACGAGCTGCATCGAATCAATACCCATTTTATGCAAAACTATTAACTTTGAAATTTGACCTTTTTTTACCTTTTTTGACCTGACCTTGACCTGACCTCCACCAGAACGTGACCTAAACCGTACCTGATGGTCTTATAACCAACACCATTGAGTTGGAAATGAAAACTTGGCCATAAAACATGCATCACACAACCTACGTGAAGTTAGGTTCATGTGGTGACCCTTGGTGACCTGACCTGTGACCTGACCTGGTATGACCAGTGACCTCAAATAGCAACATATGTACTAGACAACTGACGCCCTATCGCTGATTTTCGACAAAATGCGCTTTACCCGGTGTTATAGCGCTTTCCCTAGAAGCCCCGTGAACGGTGAAACATTTTATCTTTGACCCGACCTGTGACGTCATCGGTGATCCCGAGGTCAATGAAATTTGTTTTTCTGGACAAATTTGACATAGCTATCAAACGCCGTTTGATTTTTCCGGATCCGTCCAGTAGTTTCGGAGAAACGGGGGGGGGGCAAAAAAATGCCCCTCCCCCCCCCCACCGCGCGGAAGGTGGCCGGGAGGCCCACCGCCTGCCGAGTTAATTATTCACATTTGGAATGCAATTCAAAAGACTGTTGAATGCCTCACGTTACGACCATAAACACTGCCGAAACTGAGCTTGCTGAGGATGTTCTTTGTCACGTATTCTGACCCTTTGGGAGTTCCGGGCGTTTTAACTAGCATTATTTATGGGATTTACAACATGATATTCAATCACTCATGTTTGCTCCGATGTTCAATGTTTATCGCTTTATTTACGGGTTTGCTGTAAATAGTATCAGTTCCTGAGTGGATAAGTATTTCGTAAAGATCGTGTAGGTATGTGGTGCTACTCGATCGTGTAGCTGAACTTAAATTTATATTGTTTGGATGCGCTACGTATAAGGCACCCCACATTAGGACTGAACTATACCTAAAGAGTAAAGGCAATGTGCATCATATCGCGCACCATTTCTGGCTCTTGACTTATTGAAAGCATACTCCTAACAGCCACCGACTTCCTTAGGTACCTATCTATACCTTCGAGTGTAGCATCTTTCTCTTTCATTCCTATTTAACTAGAGACTCTTATTCAGTTGACTTTCCAGAGAAAGAATAGGTACCATCTGCCCCGTGAGATTATGTACCTCATATTTATGTTCACGTCTCACGGAGACGACGCAGCCTTCTCTCTCTGCCTGCCACGGCAAAGTGAAAGAAGGAGGGGGAAGCAGGCATTTCTGTACGATCAATAGACGACGGCAAAGCAAAGTGTCGAATGCAAGATACAGATGCAGACCGCGAAAGTTGGTTAAGAGGACCACCGGAAGAACGCTATCTGCTTTGCATACCACCACACCATCCCTAAATCTTGACCGGGGTAGAATCCCTCTAACCCAGTCACAGTCCTGCCACCAAATCTACCAAACCACATTCAGCAAGTCGCCAACTCGCTACAGCGCAATAAACAGAAGCTTCTTCAAGACAGCCCCTCTCAGAAGTACAATGAGGTTAGCGTGAAATGGACGCTGTGGAGTCTTGGTGTCCAGCGATCTTGCACGACGCCCTTTCTGTCCTCAGCTAGCACTGCCTTGCCCCCCCCCCCCCCCAAAAGCCAGCTCCTTCTTCAGCCAGCTGTTCCCTTAGCTAGCCTCTTCTTCTTTCCCCGCAGCTAGCTCTACTTCTCCTTCAGCCTTTTCTTCTCCTCCTTCGGTCGACACAGCCCGGCGTTGGAGCGCCCTACAGCAGCGGGGGCCGCTGCGAGAGCATTTGGTCGTACTTGGAAAACGCCTCGTCAATGTCCACGTAGCAGCCGCGCAGGTGTCTGTCGAACGAGCCGGCGGTGTCAGAGACGAGTGAACAGGGGCCAACACAGTGCGAGCAATGACACATGTTAACTGCTACCCTTGGGACAGTAGAATCGATTGTTATCAGCCCATGATATCGACGGCATGCGACTTAGCAAATCATATAAATCAATCAATACAGCGAACAATTAATCTTACCTCAGCACAGCGGCTGCTTCTGATCCCGCAAAAAAAGAAATTCATTTGCAAAATTGCATGCAACAACACGAATGAGCAAGAGCATGACATTAAAATCCCTGTTCTTTCCAGCATCATGCAACAGCATCATCCTCCCCATCCCTCCCTCGCTGCCAGCCGCCGTTTCCTCCAATTCCCTCTCTGAGCCCGATGGCGGCGACATTCCCAGACCCCAGTGCTCCCTCGCTGCCATCCCGCCCTACCGGTACCGACCTCTCCACCTTGTTGGGATCGTAGCTGCCCCGGCCGTGCATCACGCGCCGGTTGTTGAAGGCCACCACGTCTCCCGGCTGGAGATGGAACGTCAGCTGCTGAGACTCCTGGCGCATCCGCTCCGAAAACAGCTTGTAGGCGTGGTAGAACGGCACCACGACGTGGTCAGGAGCCTGCAACATCGCCACAAACTCGCTACAATCTCAGGGAGACTGGCTAACATGGCAAGGTGACCGGAAGCTGCGACACGGCAGTTGAACTTGCCACGTTTGGAGTGTTGAGCACGGAGATAGTTTAAAGTTGATGCTCCGGTCATCTTAAAAAAAACATACATGGCCGATAAACAAGCAACTTTTTGAAGTTATATCCCTGCCCTGGCGTTTACAGATGAGGAATTGATAAACGTACAACTTTTTCTATTCACATCCTCGCTCCAAATATTTCTAGATGAGTCCAAAGTACAAAGGGCGCGACACCTCGGTCGCAGTCGTCTGAAGGTGAAACCGGGGGCACTGCGATGGGGTAGTTTTCCGCTGGCCTCCTCCAGGCGGCTCGCTATATGGGTCACGTGTGTCCAGCTGACAAATGCCAGCTCGGCCAATTGTGGGCGGTCGTATACCGCTATCGCCGGCTTTTCCAGTGCCAGCAGGCGCCCAGTGCACCACAGGCGTGTTTACTGGTATCTAAACACCGCACGGCTGTCTCGGCCAGGCGCACGGTGACAAAAACAAACAGGGGCCACCAGCTGCGAGACAAGGGTACTGCGACGCTCAACTATCAAACTGATAAATCTGTGTTTGTATTCCAAGTAGTTAGTTCTGCGCTTATCTCATACTGAAGGATGATTTGGCAGAAAAATCATCTGGGAAGTTTAGGTATACGAGGGGGTATCGAAAAGTTCTGATCATCACCAGGAATTAGATGTGATAGAAATCTGATTTTTTTACATGATGTTCATTACTCCTTTACAAGTCACCACACACGACCGCAAACTTATTGCATCGTTTTTTTCAGCTGCCTCAGGCGGTCATTGTAGGACCTTCGCATTGTCCCGTAAATCACTGCTCCACCTCATCAATGACGTCATTTCTGTCCATAAAACACCGGCCATAGTGTGGATTCTTCATCTCCCGTAACAATCAAGAGTCAGTTAATACCTGTGCATTTGTGCATTTGTTATTTGTTATTTGTCATTTGTTATTTGTTATTTGTTGTTTGTCATTTGCATTTGTTAGATGCGGTAGAATTTAATGTCCACATCATGTTGTTTCTTCAATCGCAGCTCAGGACGAATGGGCGGGGGCGCTGTCGGTGCGGATAAAACATCTTTCTTGGGCTTTTTTGCGGCGATTTTGCTTGAGGCCATCTCGCAACTTCTTAAAAAGTGTGCAGTAGTGCTTGCTTATCATTATCTGACCATCATCAAGGCAGTCGGTAATGACTATGCTACGCCAGATCCAGAACACTGATAGCATTGACCTTCCATATCGGCTTCTGCATCTTCGCCTTTTAAGAAGGACAGATGTGCCGTGCTTTAACTTCTTGATCATCTTTTTGTCTCTGGATCATACACATAGACCCAGCATTCGTCACAACTCATCAAATGATCGAAGATGTCTTCAATTTCCTAAAAAAGGCCTAGTTTTCATTTTGAAAGGCCAAGACGCATTTTTCTCTTGAACAAAGTAGACACACGAACTTCTAAGCGGGCTGACTCCTTTATCGTCTGTAGTTCTTCGCTGATAATATTTTCAGGCACTGCCAGCATTGAAACCTTTCTGTTGCACAATCATCTGAAAGGTCACACGACGATCTGTAAGGATGAGGTCCTCCACTTCCTTCACAGTCATCACCTTGTCAGTCACTGGTAGTCACTCACCTCTTGACTTCCCTGCAAGGGCCATGCAACCAAGTTGAAAATGATTTCTTCATTTTAGGTAAGTGCATGAGATGGGCTTTCCTCGCCATAAACTTATTTCACGTTCTTGATGCATTTTCTCAGTGTGATACCGTTTCAAATGCATTAGTTGGATGACGGTTCGGTCCTCAATGGGCCCAACACTAATCTTTTTTACTTCTAAGTCTCTCCTACATAAGATAAAACCACTTCTCATGATTCTCTTTGCGGGAACATTGTTCTTAAGAACCAAATATCACACCAACCAAAAATCATCAAAATCGGTCTATATCTTCTATGTGACGATCAGAACTTTTCGATACCCCCTCGTACCTAGATGAATGAAACAACTGCAAGCTGCTCCAATTATTTAGGAGCTTGTGTGCGGCGCAAGCTGATCTGTACTCCCTCAAATACAGGTGATCATCATCGGTCGTTACCTGGAGCGGTCCCATGGTGCGGTTGTTGTAGTGAATCTCTGTGACGTCTCCCTCGGAGTCGGTGACGATAATGGGCACCATGTTGCCGTACCGCTGGCCCTTGTTCTTGATGCTGAAGAGTATCGGCGTCGAGGTGAGGATGTGGTAGGCCGACGGCTCGTTGTCCTCCATCCACTTGGCCACCCGGAAGCCGTCGACAAAGAACGACTGGCCGCCCGGGTCACGTCCCAACTTGTCCGGGTGCTCCGCCTGGTGATGGGTGGCTGGGGTTAATTAGACGGCGACCTAATACGGATGTGACCTAATCAATTGTTGGCTGCGTCGATATTAGATGAAGCAGTGTTCCTGATCACCGGAATATTACATTTATCGACTCATGGCTTGCTTTTGGCCTCTACCTGGTCTGGGCCCTAAAATGATGGTACAGCTCTGAGCAAGAGGTTCAGATGTTCAGCTTCAGAGGCTCAGCTTTAGAGGTTCAAGCGTCGGGGAGATTGAAAAGGCATGATAGCCATGAACGTTAACAAACCGAACATGACAAAGCCATGGTAAGAACATGCAATGCGTGCATCAACTCTTGTCTCCATCATCGTAGTCTCCAGTCTCCACCATGTTTTCGGCGCTTCTGACCCACCACTGCTGACCTTGAGGCAGTGCAGCAGCTGCATGCCAGGCGAGTTCTCTCGGTAGTTCATGTCTGTGTGCAGCTGCAGTCCCAGTCCCGTCTGGAACAGGTGCACCCCGGGGGTCGGGTTGATCCGCACGCTCCAGGTCACGCCGTACTGCGTCTCCTTGATGTAGGCAAAGCGTCCGACCACCTCCTTCAGTTGATCCTGCCGAATAGAGCGAGGAGTGTCACTGTACGAAACGACAAGGATGGCTGTCCTGAAACTCCTCACGTCTTCGGTCCCAACGTCAACGGTCCCTTACGGAGAACATACTAGCCGAACCATATGCAGTCGTTTGGCATAGGTCAACGTGGGGTTTCCCGACGCCACGAATTGCACCACCTGAGCGGAGCGCGCCGCGGCCTCGCTCCTGCAGGTGGCGTCGTCACTCACCGGGTCTGTCGGCACATTCCTCAGCATGGCGAAGCCGAACTTATAGAACATGTCGAGCCACTCGAACAGCGCGTCGTCCGACTCGATGAACTCCTGATATTCGACCTCTGGCAGCCGCTTCTGGATGATGTAGCGGTTCCAGAGGGTGAGCGGCGGCCGCGGCCAGGCACCATCCTCCTCCAGGGTAGCGGGAGCCGTGAACGTGTCGTGCATGAAGCACTGGCCGTACCGGTACAGCCTGAAGGCGGGTTGCAGTCATTGAGTGCTAAGGGAACTGGTACGGGGGGGGGGGGCGTTGTATTGTCGCTGCCGTGGGCACCGGTACAGCCTGGGCCGGGAAGCGATATTGAACAACGCCGGTAAATGCATGTGCGAAATACTGTCTCAAGGGTAAGACTAATACTTGAAGCATATATGCTTTTACTTAATCGTGGCGTTTCAAGACTTGCAGTGTGGTAGATGGACAAAATGGCCACTCTCATGCTGGACTCCAGCCGACTATACATATAATAATAAGAGCAATTCGTTGAGGACCGCAGGAGTAATTTTTGCAGGACATCATACGCCCAAAGGAACCGGTCACTTCACCGCACGTGCCACCCATAGCGACTCACCAGTCGTTGGTGAATGTGGACACGTGCTCCTCGCCACCGTGGGACTGCCATGTGATGACCAGATCGCCACGATCGTTGATCTGCAGAGCCTTCGGTTTGATCTTTGGGTCGAGTGCAGGCGTGTCGAGCAGCTTCTGACGCGTGTCGACGTCCACACACAACGGACACTTGCAGTTGTCCCGCAGCTGGAGCGGAAACACAGAGACAGCTGCGGTCAGACTTCGGCAAATTCTCGAACATCAAGTACTATATGCCTAGTCTAGTAACTTCGAACAAAGTACAGTACTGAGCTGACAAATAAGTCTTAGCGGCGCCAAAGTGTGCTTGCTTATCGACGACAGGCTCGTCATGGACTTCATCCTCAATAGTCTCATAATATCATATGGATGAAGAAGAGCGTCTAATTTTTGTCAGATTACACTCGTAAAATCAAAAATGGTTGTCCGGTGATGGTTGAATGGCTTCAAGGGGTATTAGGGGCTCCGCTCCAGTGCTCTGCTCTGGACTCTGACAGCCAGTGCTCAGGCTCCACCCTACTGAGTCCACCTCCGGGTTTGAATCGCTCCGTCGTTCGATACATGAAGATAGCTACTTTCAAGATAGTCTGTGGTTGGCGAAGGCATCCCCGCTAGCTGAAGCCATTGAGTGAGCCGCGCAACACGATAGGCTTCTAAAGCCCCTAACTCCTGGGATTTTCCCAACCAGCGGCAAAGGTCGGAGCCGGGCAGCGAGATCCGCTTAGTTTGGTTGCTGGGCGCGCTAGTCCGTCAATTCAAAACACTCGAACTTCGCTTGTAAAAATGTCAAAAACACATACATAATAGAAAAAGCTGGAACAACCATGAAAGGAAGGTATATGTAGAATTATTTCGACCATTCAGTGGGCATACTAATGACCAGATATTTAACACGTGAATGATCATTGATCACTAACACGTGTATGGTGAAACACGTGGGGGGACCTAGCCAAAAGTTAAACGCTTGAGCCCTGAAGATGATCACTGGTCAGACAAACTGTTTGTAGATTCTTCAATGCCAGAAGAAATGTCCTACATCCAGGTCCAGGGTCACCAATGAAAACTGGGTATTCCGGGCATCCGATGACGACAAAACAAATAAACCCATCTAAAATATGTGGCTACCCTGTTCCTAAGATATATGTACTACTTCGTCATCATAGGTACTTCGTCATTGGGACAAAGGTATTGGAACCGAAGCTTGATAGATGGTTTCTCTGCTACTATATATTTGCATGCTGGGTGCGAAGATTTTGGCTGATGTCAATTAAACGTTTTTGAAGATAAACGCCAGGATATCGTAGGCATCCACGCAAACACTTAAAACAACGTCATGCTTTTATCGTAGCAACATTGTTCCGATGCGCAGCCCGGGGAGTTTGTTGAACCCGCGATCGTTGACAGTCTCCGGGTGGCTGGCCCGCCCAGGAAGCAGTGACTTCAACTGACCACTCGCCGTTAATTCACTCCGCTTATTTGTGTTGTAAGACTAGCGCAAAGCCCTACCACTCGCTTCCAGAGTAGTTATGAGTCAGCACTTTGCGCGCGCGGCTCTCTCTCTCTCTCTCTCTCTCTCTCTCTCTCTCTCTCTCTCTCTCTCTCTCTCTCTCCCCTCTTTCTTTCTTTTCCCTCTTTATAATCCAACATGCAGCAGTCTAGTTAGCCCTAGGTAATAATGAGATTATTGAGGTAAGATCTTTGTGAGGTGTTTATTTTTCATGTCTAGTTAGAAGCCATTTCCAGGACAGCTTTATCGTTTGTACAGAAGGTGAATATCCCATGTTGCGACTCACCCAGATGTATTTGAACTCTGCGGTCTTGTTGTCGTCGAATATGACTTTCGCGGTCTGATGGCAGGCAGGGACGGCAGATACTATCCGGGGTATCTGCTGCAGATACTCTCTCCCGGCCAGCGAACTCTTGGCTGAAACCAACAGCACATAGTACACTGTTAATCATTTTCTTATACATGAATGATAAATGGTTATTTAGCTGCTTATATATCACTGAGCAAACGGTTCACTTGGAAAAGAAAACATATAAATATAATTGAGTTATTATTCAGCATCTTATGCATATCACCACCGATCCAAGAAGTGTTATGATTAAAGCCAATACGGGAAGCACGATTAATTTACCTTTAACACGGAAAACATTCATTTACTGTTTTTATTTTTTATTTTATTTGGTCTCGTATAAAAAGCAACGTCGAATGTGAACTAGTGACCTTAACCCGCGAGTTGCTGGGGGGGGGGCGTTAAACGCCCCCACTTTTTTCGCCGGGCCATAGCATAAAAACGGCGCGCCGCAGGCGCGCCAAATTTTGGGTACCTGTAGGGAATCGATTGAAGTTTATTGTGACAAAGTTTCAAAAAAATCGGTCGGAAAATTTTTGAGATATCGAGGTTTTAGTGACGTCATAATTTCTGAGTTTTCGACCAAAAACGGCATATGTTCAAAAAATCATATAAAATCACAGAATAGACATATAGACATGCCGTAAACGCCATTAGACTGCCAATACCATGGAGAATCAAATGGCTATCTTCGATTATTGATTATCGTTCCGCATTTTCCAAAATCTTGAACTGAATCTTGGCAATTTCTCGTGACTACTTCACGACCATGATACATGAATTTCTTAAATTGAACTTTTTTAGCCAAACACGTACACATATGATAAAATGAATGTCACCATCGTGTTCTACGCCCCAAATTACCCATAAAACATGTGTCACAGGCTGCGAATATCAGTTTTTATTTTCGGGGATATGTGCCTGCCCGGTTGACCTGACCTTGACCCTGACCTATGCTTGACTGACCCCTGCATGGAGCTGATACTCTTGTAGGCCTTATATGATGGATTGTGCACCGTTTTGACAGAGTTTATGACGAGAGGCGCCCATTGCGAAGACCTTAAGTCCATGCTACTGAAAACCCGATTTCAGGTGTTTGACCTGACCTTGACCTGACCTGTGACCTCAAAATTCAACTTTAAAGTACTCATCTGAAGCGTCTCGTCGCGTTCTTTCGTTTGCCGCCTCGTGCGTTTCGCTGCGCCTATTGGTTCTCGAGTTATCGGCTGGGGGCGTTTAACGCCCCCCCCCCCCCAGCAAACGGTGGGTGGCGAAATACCCCAGCAACTGCCGGGTTAAGCTTTCGGAAAGATGCCTAATGAAACGACACTTACGTCTGACTTGCTGGACTAGTAGAGATTTAGAGCTGTTGCTTAGCGACCCGCTCTGGGTCGTAACCGCGAGACGACAACCACGAGATATGGCCGCCGCCAGTACTGATCTGAGTGACGCCATCTTGGCTCTGAGAACAGACGACAGAGGTTTTATGAAGAGCACAGTAAAATTGGAGTCTGGTTACGGGGAGCGGGTGGTGACAGGGGAAGCGTGAGATATCAGTGACTCAGTCATAAAGTTGTCTCCCTATTGGTTCGATTGGACGATGGTCATCTGCAGTCATACCAGTTTGTCTATCAGTCATCCGTGTTGACTGAGCGTTCAGCTGTGCTATTCAGTCAATCATTGCTAACTGAGCGGTCATTGGTGTGCCTCCGTTCGGTTCATCCGTGCTGACAGAAGTGTGCCCACTGCCCACTGCCCACTGCCTAGGCTACTCAGATGACAGCCTGCGCAGCTGAGCTGTCTTTCTGCCGTCTCTGTATCGGTCGCTGACCCAGCACCCACCGCGTCAAAGGTCGCTCGTTGAGAGGGCGCAGACGTGGTGCAAGGCCCTATGATGTAAACTATGAGCCTGCTGACGCTCCATGACAGTGACACACCCAGTCAGCTGAGCACAAAACTAGCCAGCTGGCGGACATACCTGGTTTTTGTCACCGGCACAATGACTTCGAGGAAAGTGGCGGAGAAATTAAAATGCTAGCAAGAAACGCAGTGAAACTGACACCTTCTAGTGCATGGTTCCCGATCATTTTTTCCCGATCGATGCATATTTGTTTCGATATTTGTGTAAGATGCGTACCAGATCAACGCAGAGGCATTGGTTGCGTTACGACTGACACATCGGAGTAAATACGGACATTTCTGGTAGTTCTAGCTGCGTAGAAAAGTGCGCATTTGCTCGCCCGTGTACCGGTTACTCATCCGGGGGCCCGACCCGACCCAATCAAGGCGCAAATGTGTGAATAACACTCCACCATAGTGCCACGCCAAGGGAACGGTTTGGAGCTGAGGAAGCAAAGTGTACGGTCATAAGTGAACGTTAAATTCAACCTAATGGGATGGAATGGTTATTGGAACGTCATTGCATCGGTAGCGCAGAAAAGAAAAACGTTTATGCAAACAAAACATGTGCGTTAGGGAATGGATCAAAATACAATCGAACATAGGGCAGCAGCCTATTTTTCATCAGTCCTCGACTTCTCACAGTAAGAACTGGAATGCTCCAGTCACTCCCGAACACCGACGACCAGCGTCGTATTTCTGGACGGTGCAGAAGATGTCCAAAGATCGATAGGACTAGCGACCGATCCGCTCAGGATGACGAGGGACATCTGGTCAATACCACATCACGTGACTTTGGAACATCTGGTCAATATAGGTCACGTGACTGGTCACGTGAACGCTCAGCTGGCGCCGCAATGATCCGGTATATTTCCACGGGCATCTCGAAAGCACTCATGAGGCAAAATGGAGCCGGGAGGTGGATCCGTTTACTGCTGAGCTTGCGAGGCTGCTTTGCAAAAAGATCGCTTAGTGATAAACACCAAGAAGAGAGTGTGTTATATAGCCGACCGGTGACCAGCGCTGGTCTGTTGCATTATTCCGACACGACAATGTCATATCCAAAAGCTAAATATTAAATAGGTAAGATAACGCATTAATTGTAATGCAATGATGTTAGACAAAATATGTCTGACCGGCAATTAGTTTTCAAAGAACTAATTGCCGGTTGACATTAGTTCTTACTAATGAAGTAACACTGAAGTAACAGTTAACACCAATTTCATAGTTATTTGGTGATCGGTAGGTATTCACATTTTGGTAGGTAGGTTCCCTCGTGCATCTACATAGCGTCCCTCGCCGCTCCTTACGGCTCCAGCCGGGTAAGGAGCTCCACCTCCAGACGGTTACGGAGCTCCAGCCTGTTACGGAGCTCCAGCCTGTTACGGAGCTCCAGCCTGTTACGGAGCTCCAGCCTGTTACGGAGCTCCAGCCTGTTACGGAGCTCCAGACGGTTACGAAGCTCCAGCCTGTTACGAACTTCCAGTCGGTTACAGAGGTCCAGCCGGTTGGGTAGCTCCAGTCGGTTACGTAGCTCCAGCCGGTTACAGCGGTTACAGAGGTCCAGCCGGTTACAGAGGTCCAGTGGGGTACGCATCTCCACTCCAGAAGCCGCGGCGTCCGGATGGGTACCATATTCGCCATCAGTGCCCAATGCCTTTTATCCAGCGACGGGCCAGAGCACAGCAGCATAACAAGTACAACGGGATCGCAAGCTGCGCTATCGTGCACAGGTCCACTGCATCCTTCGATGGGTAAATACCCAAGTTATAAGCCACATGGTTCGTATAGTGGATTACCGAGCACGTGTTTTACCGAATACCTACCCAGTTACACATTTTGTGTTGCGGGGTACATGTATGCCCATATGTTTATATTGTAGGTGGGAAAGCATTCCGTCTATGCTGCGGGTTACGTTTATTACGCCGATAATGTATTTGCTGCATGTTGCCGTTGGATACGTATTCTGTACCTCAATCGGTTCGTATTAGGTGCCGCCGGGTGGTAACTATGGTCGGCTGTCTGGTGTGTAATGCACAATACTGCGCCGCCGCCGGCTGGGTAGCTATGGTCGGCTGTCTGGTGTGTAATGCACAATACTGCGCCACCGCCGGGCCCGTGAGTTTAACCCGCGCCGGGCCGGAAGGTTTTTTTTGGCACACCTGTTCGGGCATCTTTTCCGCACATGTTGTGCAAATTTCAGACCCAGGTCACCTTAGGTCAGGTCACCAGGTCACGCCAAGTGACCTCACCTCAGAAAAAAATAAGAATGCTCGTCATAGCTACAACGATTGATCGATTGCCTTGAAACTTTCAGCGATTGATTAGAACAGCAATATCTATAAAATGTATATCTCGGAATTTCGATATCGGTGACCTAAGTCAATGGGAGAAAATTGAAAAGCGTCTGTTTTGCACGAATGCTATTCAAGACACTCAAACATCGAGATGTATTGACACACTGAACGGGAAAATGGTAACTGTGACCCCTGGCTATGTCCCCGAGGTCACCTCACGTCACGAACAGAATCTAACAGTTTTTCGCTAATAACTTCTGAAAGAGGCGTGCTAGAGCGCTGAAAACGCCTTATATATGTTGAGCTCGACGTGGCGGATCGACTGATATGCAACATGACCTTTTCCGGTCAGGTCATGACCTTGACCTGAGGTCAAATTTTCAAGTTGACCTTTCAAGGTCAAATTATAGTTCATTCGACGCGTCTCGACGAGAGGTACACGATGCTGGCAAAAGTATTGTCATGGCTCTTTTGAGTCAAAAGTTATTGCCGAAAAAACGCTTTTCGTAAAAATGGCTATTTTTGGAGTTTTTGCCCTCTGGAGGCTAAACCGTTGACCTGAGGTCAAATCTGAGAACATTACTCAGAAAGGTATGTAAAAGGGCTATCGAATGCGCTTTTCCGCGGCGCTGTAGCTCTATCGGTTTTCGAGATAGCCGTTGGCAGTTTCCAAAATGTTGAAATAGTCAACATTTTACCTTTGGTGACCTCTGGTGACCTGACCTTTGACCTGACCCAAAAAATGACCAAATTGTTTTGGTCCTTATTTTGGACGTTCTTTCGATTGCTGCTTACCGCGTGTCGCTACGTGGCCCAGGAGCCGAGTTAGAAGGGGGGTGTTCGAGGAAAGAGCACCGGCCCGGCGCGGGTTAAGCAGAAACAGACAGATATAAGAAAAAAACAGCGGTGTCCGTCAAGAAGTAAGACGTTAGACGACTACATAGAAACAGGGCTAACATTCCAGAATGGTTGAAATAAAACGGTAGTCTTATGGCGAGCATCGCCAATCCTACACTTGGAAAGACCTCGTTTCAAGAAACATGAGAGGTCTGGGTTTTGATTTTGGTCATTAAATTGAATTGGGAGGTCTACTAGTGTGTCAGCTAATGACAAGATGACTTCAAATGGGACTGATTGGCTTTGACCCTTCCCAAGCAGGACTCCGTTTTTTCGTAAGGCTCTAGCTCAATCAGGGTTCAAATGGCTCGTGCGCAGGGCCGGGACGAAGCCGGGGTGCCGAAGCTCTAATTGAGCCTTTATACAAGCTTCGGTGCCCCGAACTCGGTCATGGAAGCCTTTCACTTTATGATAAAGGCTTTCACAACGCTGTAGCACAGGATCTGAACCACGAGTGAAGAGATAGATGTAGCAATCGGGCGCTGCCTTCGGACACTTTTCTCCAGATATTGAATTAAATAAATGGCGGAATTAAATAAAAACCTGTTACGCTTTTCTTTTCTCAGTGCACCTGGAAAGTTCACTGAACCGTTGTCTGGCAGTCTCGATTGAAGCGTCACAAATCGATAACAAAGGTGACCCGGTGGGCAAAATCGATAGCACACATGCAAGGTGTTTATAAACGACGCCTCGCTACAGCTACAGAGGGTGATACACGTGCCAAATAAGCCGGCTAATAAGCCCGCTGACCACTGATTTGTCGGGTACTCACTATGGGTACAGCAGCCGGCCTTGCACACGGTCGGGAGCGTCCTCCACGTATACCCTCCGGCGCCTCGCCCCGACGACGACTGCGCGAGCCCGGAGTACGCGCCCCCTCCACCCGGCCGCCAACCGCGCCTCTGACGTCTCACAGCGCCGGCTGACCTGACGGTGACGTCACACAGCGTGGGCTGACCTGACGGTGACGTCACACAGCGCCGGCTGACCTGACGGGGACGTCATACAGCGCTGGCTGACCTGACGGTGACGTCATACAATGTCGGCTAACCTGGCGGTGACATATGTACAGCGCCGGCTGATCGGCCGGTGACGTCATACAGCGCTGGTTGACCTGACGGTGACGTCACAGGACACTGTCTGATCGGCCCTATGGCCGGACCGGACGATTACACTGATCCGGTGGCGTCCCAAAAGTCCCCACACTGCAGCGCCGGTGAAACAGTAGAGGTCCCCAAATTATCCTGACCCTGGGTCGCAGTTCGAGGTCGAAAAGCTTGACATCATGCAATGATGGCAAGGCCGTCGTGGGGCCCTCAGACGCGAGTGTGGGCCTTTGGAGCTTGCGTTGGGTCCAGATCGTGAGGGCCCAGAGAGGTCGTCGTCAGGGCTCTCAGCCCCTCAGGGACCGTCCTGGGGTCCTCAGAAGTTGTTGTGAGGGCCTTTAGAAGCCTTCGAGAGGATCATCAGAGGTCGTCATGAGGGTCCTTGGCCATATTGAGGCTCTTCATGGGCCCTCAGATACCTTTGCAGGGCTCTCAGAGGCCTTGGTAAGACCGCTAGAGGCCATCGTTGTTAGAGCCCTCAATAGGCCGTTGCAGAGCCCTCAGGTGCCAGCATAGCCCCTGCAGCCTGGTTGTGTTGAGGCCCTCAGAGGCCGTCGCTGGGCCGTCTGAAGCCAAATGGGCCCTCAGACTTGAGTTGGGTCTAGGGCCGTCACAAGGGCCCTCAGAGAACGTCGTAGAGGCCCTCAGAGGCCATTGGGGCCCCTGGAGTCCTGTGGGACCCTCAGCGGTCGTCATGAGGGCCCTTAGTGGTCGTTATAGGCCCCAGGGGACAGAGTTCGTCGTGAGAGCCCTCAGAGATCATCGTAAGGGCCCTCAGAGGCCATCATAGGGGCCCTCAGAGGTCAGTGTGGCCCCTGGAGTCTCCTTGGGGCCCTGGAGTCTCTGTGGGACCCTCAGCGGTCGTCATGAGGGCCCTTAGTGGCCGTTGTAGGGCCCCAGGGGACAAAGCCCTCAGGTGGGAGCCCTCAGAGATCGTCATAAAAGGGCCCTCTGAGGCCGTCGTGGGGGCCCTCAGATGCCGCGTGGGGCACCAAACGCGGCTCGGGACACTTCTAACCGGTGTGGGGGCCCCAAAGACTAGCATGGGGCGCTCCTGACCATAATTGGACATCCCGGATGCTTCCCCATCAGTGTTCGTTTCCCGATCACTGGTTTTCAGGAGAAATGTATTGGATGGTGCGACGGGCCCCTTGTACGGATTTTGGAGGTGCAAAAAGATATGTTTGCACCCCCATGTTTTTCGATGGGGGTGCAGGCCCACGGCCCCCTCTAACATGTTAACTGGGAGGGGGACCGCCCCCCCCCCAGTGATGCCGCTTGCCCCCCCCCCCCCCCAGTGGAGCTGAAATCGCGTCACTGGGGGGGGGGCACGCAGTTAATTAAGCAAATCACGTAGAAAAACGAGGAAATTTTACTGTAAGCTTACCAAACAAACAATCCAGACTATCTCCATGATCACCACGTTACTAATTTTAGTTTCCTTATATCGTAGGTTTCTTATCTACAGTTTTTTTACAGATCCGCTTAGGTTGAGCCGCGGAATGAGGTCAGACATTGCAGATTTTATAATCGAACGCCGACTGAAGCCCGAACGGGACATCACTTTGAGAAGGAAACAGCCCGAACGGTCGCCCTCTATAGTCTCAATCAGTCAAGCGCTTACGGTTCAATACGGAGTAAGTATTATGCCCTTTTTTCGTGAGACAGGTTTATTCTTGAAGAGTAAATTTTTTACGGTCAAATAAGAGTGCGGCTGAGCTTTATAGCACGATATAAAAGTTTTTTCCCATAGTTTGGGACTAGCAGCGATAAGGCCTCTCACTTATTAAGGGGTATGATAGACCCCACCCCAGTTTTTTTTGCGAATAACTCGCGTAAAAACTGGCCCAGCGTGGCAAACGTTTTAGTAGGTATTCTCCTGCACTGAAAGCAATTTAACTCAGGGCCGGCGAGTAAACCGGTGTTTCACGGATACCCCTATCCGCAACCATTTTTAACCACCCTCCCAGAAGTACAGTAATGTCCCATTGCAGTGTAGTCGTCCCTGCTCTCAGCGGACATATTCGCTGAGAGCGGTTATATCCGCTCAGAGCAAGTACGACTACACCGCAATGGGATCTAGCACTACTCCTGGGAGGGTGGTTAAAAATGGTTGCGGATAGGGGTACCCGTGAAACACCGTTTACTCGCCGGCCTTGGGTTAAATTGTTTTCAGTGTGATTACTTCAATTCTACATATTTCCTGAAATTGTAATTACCCTGTTCCCTGATTTTCATTCTCATTGACCTGTGGCCTGTTTCTTGTGAGTTGTGCCATTTTCAGGCAAGTAGCTTTTTAGGATGGTTAGCTGTTTTCAGGCATGTAGCTGTTGGTTTCCAGCGTTTAGGAAATCGATACCTAAGCCCTCACACTTTCTGCGGTCGGTTCAAGATTCCTTACGCACTGCTGTGCTGTTTAATACTTTTTTAATAAAGCATTTTGTTTCATTTTCGGAAAGCCGGAAATTTCCGTCGATTTCGGACGCTGTGGGGGATATTTACCCAAATGTCACCCTGCTCGTGCCGGTCTGGATCCACCGGCATAGGGTCAGATGGCCTACTATTTCTTTATTTTTTTCTCAAAATAAAAAAAATCATGGCATCAGGGCTCGGACGAAAAATAAGTGGCCTAAATCCGATGAGAAAACCGGATTTGAGGGTACCCTAGTTTGGCTTCTGAGCCTCTGCCCCCCCCCCCCCCAGTGAAAATTCCTTAGAGGAGGCCCTGGGTGCAGCTGCACCCCCTGCACCCCCTATTCCGCCGCCACTGACGCTCACAAAAGCTACAGTTATCAAACAATTTCAAAAATCTTTATATGGTCATGTGGACAAAAGGCAGCGCTACAAAACTGCTAACTCGGATTTTCAAAATTTTGGATTTTGACCCCAAAAAAATCAAAAAATTGAATTTTTTAGAAAAGAACGAAAAACCCAAAATTTTCAGGATATCGAAAAAAACGGAATATATGTGATAGTCCCTAGATTGATACCTCCTTTTTTGGCTAAGTTATAGCAAAAAAACGTTCAAAAGTGATTACGTCAAATTTTCAAACTCAATTTTTGACAATTTTGGACCACGTAGGGGAAAACAAAGACCAGCATTAGACTCCCCGTGACGAGATGCATCGAATCGATACCAATATTATGCAAAAATATCAACTTTGAAAGTTTACCTAATTTGACCTGACCTTGACCTGACCTTGACCTGACCTTGACCTGACCTTGACCTGACCTTGACCTGACCTTACCAGAACATAATCTAACCTGACCCCAAAGGCTGTCTGACCCATATAATCGTATTTGGCATATAAAAAGGACCATAAAACATGCATCACATGATATATTCATATTGTAACCCTCAGTGACCTGACCTCTGTGACCTGACCCGGTACCAGTGACCTCAAAAGCAGAATATGTGTTTGAAGAACATTTCGCCACCGATGATTTTCAATGAAATGCATTTTACTCGATTTTACAACGCACTTCTTGAGATGCCTGTAAACGGTGAAAATTCGACATTTGACCTGACCTAGCCGTCATCGGTTTGACCTAAGTCAATGAAATTAGGTCACAAGGTAGTTCCCTGGTAGGGCTATCCAACACCGTTTTTCCGCTCGTTGCTATCTTGCGTGGTTCTCGAGATCTTAAGGGGGGGGGGGGGCAAATTGCCCCCCCCCCCCCCCAGCAGGGCGCGTTGCTCGGCAGACCCCAGCGGAGCGCGGGTTAACATTAGCACTATGGGCGTTGAATGGTGTGAAACGTTTTTTTGAGCATGATTATGATTATAATGGAAATCAGATGGATTAGTAACCTTTTGCTCATAACTAATGTAAGCCAAAAACAAATCCAAAATATATTTTCGGTGTTTTTAAGGAAAGTTACTACGGCCTATGGGCTACCCGATGATGTGCTTTGATTTGGAATTCGGTCAATCCCTCTACTCGAAAACTGCTGTGCATGTGTATTTTCGACATAGCCCACAAATGACCTTAGGTCATCGCATGACCTTGAGAGGTCAAATGAGTGTTGGGAAAGTAAGATTAGATGCTGGCGAGTCGATTGGTGCCATTTTTTAGCGCTTTAGCTCTACTGGGTGGGCCACAATCTTCTGTGCAAATTTGGGCCACGTGACCTTTGCTGACCTCTGTAGGTCACACGGCTAGGAGTGCCACCGAATGACTTGGACTGTGGATTGGACATGTCATGGCCTACATTGTGTGCGAGTTTCAGCTTGATCGGAGGTGTCCCGAATCTGGACTGAATCCGGGCTGCGACGTATTGAGTGTCGTTTATTTGCACATTTTGACCTACCGAGGTCAAACGGGGTCACATATCGAAAAGCGGTTTTTAAGGAAAGTTACTACGGCCTATGGGCTACCCGATGATGTGCTTTGATTTGGAATTCGGTCAATCCCTCTACTCGAAAACTGCTGTGCAATTGTATTTTCGACATAGCCCACAAATGACCTTAGGTCATCGCATGACCTTGAGAGGTCAAATGAGTGTTGGGAAAGTAAGATTAGATGCTGACGAGTCGATTGGTGCCATTTTTAGCGCTCTAGCTCTACTTGGTGGGCCACAATCTGCTGTGCAAATTTGGGCCACGTGACCTTTGCTGACCTCTGTAGGTCAAACGGCTGGGAGTGCCACCGAATGACGTAGACTGTGGATTGGGCATGTCATGGCCTACATTGTGTGCGAGTTTCAGCTTGATCGGAGGTGTCCCGAATCTGGGCTGAATCCGGGCTGAATCTGGGCTGAATATGGGCTATCTTCATTCCACTGAAGAAGGTCCAGCACCGAAAATATATTTTGGATTTGTTTTTGGCTTACATTAGTTATGAGCAAAAGGTTACTAATCCATCTGATTTCCACTATGGGCGTTGCATGGAAAGAATGGGACCAAAAGTCGGCAGTGCCTCCCCCCTTAACCTGCGCCCCGCTGGGGGGGGGGGGCAGAATCTGCCCCCCTCCCGTTTTTGCCAATAACTTCTAAACGCGTTACGCCAGCGACGTCAAACTTTCAGTACCTACCTTATCATACATCAATTTGACACGTTCCGTGAAAATTTGAGCGATATCCGTCGGAACATTTTTGAGAAATTGACGTTTTAGTGACGTCATGTTCGCCATTTTCGCTTAAAAAACGGCAAAATTTCAAACGCCGCTAACATCTTCATTTTTAAAGGAATCAAGGACGTAACAAAAAAGGGTTATACGTGATTCCCCTTTTGTCTATCAAATGGCTATCTCGGTTTATTGAAAAGTTTGGATTTTGGCCCAGATTGTTTTAAAAAACTGACTTTTTGGGAAAATAATTATAAAATTCAAAATTTCGAGTGTATCGAAAAAACCGGAATTTATGTCAGAGAGGTGGTCTATGTGCACCTACATACCAATTTTTAGAAGAATCGGCTCAAAAATGTGGGAGTTATTCAAAATTTTATGACGTCACGACACACAAAAATTTTGAAAAATGATTTTTTTTGGATGTTCTAGACCTCGTACGGAAACAAAAATAGCACGATTCGATTTGCCGTGAAAAACTGCATCAGATAGACACCTTTTTAGGCCTTAACAACCAACTTCAAAATTTGACCTCACTTGACCTGACCTTGACCTGACCTCGATCTGAATTTCATCCAGAGGTGGTCCATATCACCTATTGAGTGTGCCTATTGAATTCTATGAGTAAAGTGACCCATAAAACATGTGTCGCATATGCCCTTTTCTATATTTTGTTTTTGGTGACCTGACCTGACCTGACCTGACCTTGACCTTGACCTTTGGATGACATTGTATGCAACGAATATTGTCTTGGTAGTCTAAGAACACGTTTTGGGCAATCAGTCGCAGTCCATTCTTCGGCAACTACGGTGCAAGGCCGATACTGTAGAAACTTGCATTTTGTACCCTTGACCTGACCTTGACCTGACCTCTGACCTACTTAAGCAAAAAAATTTGGGCTCTTAAGATCCGCCTTGTTGAGAGCCTTCGACTGCCGTTTTCCCTGTCTTTCTACGACCATCGGTTCGGAAGTTAGACAGGGGGGGGGCAGAACCTGCCCCCCCCCCCCCCCCCCCCCCAGCAGGGCGCGTATGGCTGAATAGCCCAGCGGGGCGCGGGTTAATTGAAGGTGTTCCGCCGCTGCTGCATGGCACAATTATGGCAAAATTACTGTACGGCAAAATTAACCCTCGCCGGCACAGGGGGGTGAAGCAACCCCCCTACGTTTTTTTCGCGAATAACTCGCGTAAAAAGCGGCCTATCGTGACGAAACTTTCAGTACCAACCCTCGCATTGATCAATTTTACACCTACCCTAAAAATTTCATGACCCTGACCCAACTGACCTTTGAACTGTGACTTAGGTACTTTCCGAGACCATGCTTGGCCGGAATCGCGATTCGGCGTATGGTATGTCGGCTCGCATTAGCCGCGCGTTTGCAAGCTTTTCGTGGTTTCACACGTTCAAACATGTGCTTTGATGTTGCTCCCATGCATAAGGGTGGATGTCAAGGTCACCTGAAGGTCAGGTCAGGTCATTGACCTTTTGGTGACCTCGGTTCACTTTTTCGAGTTTTCCATGTTTCCAGGCTAGTTTTTGGAGATGAATTCGAATTTAGCAACCATTTGAATATTTACGTATAGAAGAAGTTTTGGTGCAGCCCGCGCCCCGTAGGGAGGGGGGGGGGCCGAAACGGCCCCCCTGTCCTTTTCCCTCGATATCTCCTAAACGGCTGGAGATATCGCCACCAAACTTTCAGGACCCCTCCGGGCATCAATTTTACACAATGTGACCAAAAATGTTTCCAGAGGCTATGATAGGTTGGCCACAAATGACGTCAAAATAACGTCATGTTCTGCCATTTTCGACCGAAAAAAGACCTTCGCGAGAAGAGCTGTCAGGCCTACAGCTTTGAAGATACAGAAAAATGATCAGGACATAAAAGGTGTAGAATTAACAGGGCTACAAAACTGTTATCTCTGATTTATGAAATTTTTGAGTTTTGACCCCCAAAAATCAAAAATGCAATTTTTTTGATATATTTACCAAAAATCCAAAAGTTTTTTGAGTTTCAAAAAAACGGAATATATGTGATAAGACCTACCGTCTTCTATCTACATACCAAATTTCAGATCAATGTCTCGTTTTTTGGCCAAGTTATAGCGAAAAAACTGTGCAAAAATGATGACGTCAAATTTTCAAACTCAATTTTTGGCAATTCTAGACCACGTAGGGCAAAAAAAGACCTTCATTGGACTCCCCGTGACGAGCTGCATCGAATGGATACCCATTTTATGCAAAAATATCAACTTTGAAATTTGACCTAATTTGACCTGACCTTGACCTGACCTTGACCAAAACGTGACCTATGCTGGCTCCAAAGGCTGCCTGACCCACATAATCGCATTGGTCATGTAAAATGGACCATAAAACATGTATCACACGACGCTTTCATATTGTGACCCCCGGTGACCTGACCTCGCTGTGACCTGACCTGGCATCAGTGACCTCAGATAGCAAAGTATGTGTTTGACGAACAATTTACCATCGATGGTTTTCAATAACTAACCAATTTACTCGATTTCACAACACATTTCTTGAAATGCCTGTGAACGGTGAAAATCTGACCTTTGACCTGACCTGTGACGTCATCGGTTTGACCTAGGTCAATGAAATTTGGTCACAAGGTAGTTCCCGGGTGGGGCTATCGAACGCCGTTTGAGTTTTGAAAATCGGTGGTAAATTTCCGAGATCTTAGGGGGGCCGAAACGCCCCCCCCCCCTCCCTACGGGTGGTAGGGTCCGCCGGTAGCGGCCCTACGGGGCGCGGATTAAGCTGCGAAGCTGTCAGAGGCGGTTGACACGCATTACGAATACCTGTCACGACCCTTACCGGTTGACCTGACCTGACCTGACCCGTCCTGGTCTAAATAGACATCAATATCATCTCTGATCAAACCTAACACGATATTCGTGATCAGCACCCCGGAAAACCTAGGTATTAGCGGCCTCACTTTACGACTTTCTAACAGGTCCCGATTTTCCCGATTTTCGGGTCATTGACCTGACCTGGAAGGTCACCCGATGACCTAGGACCTTAAAATTGGATATCATCGGCTTCCTCTCGTGACGTGCAACACGCTCGTTTTTTCTGCGAAGCTCTAGCTCGATCAGGGATCAAACGCAAGGGGGTCTATACCCCCCTCCTCCTTGTGCCGTCGAAGGAGTGCCGGCGAGGGTTAAAAAACAGCCAGAAAAGATACTAGACTCGGTTTTCTACTATTCCATAATATGGCTGCACTCGTACAGAGCCTACGTGGCGCGCTTGTTTCGATTGTGGCGCTGTAAAATTGTTATTGGTGATGGCGTTGATGAACTTGAATTGGAAAATAGAATGGGAATAGCTTAGACCGTGAGGTTATATTTAATTTCAGAACAATGTTCTTGAATTCATTTTATGTTTATGCCCAGTGCGTATAACGTATAATAGTTGTTGGATCCTGTTGATTAACACCTCAGCCTTGCATGAACTCAAGGCCATTTTCATTTTCATTGGCCATTGCCCTATGCCATGCACACTCATATCATGGAGATATCAATATGTCATATCTAACTCATATGAATATCTAAAGGTGATTTGGGGAGTTTGTGTTGAATGCTTACTGTTATTAACTGGTCACTGGTTGGAGAGTGTGCGACCCGCCGGCCGCCAAGGCTAAATAAACCCGACCCATCTATAACCTATGAATAGGCTCCTTCTGTTTTGGTTTCACTTTGCTGACAACTAAAAATACTTTTTAGATTTTTCAAGCTAAGAATTCAGGCAAATTTTTAAGGCATTTTTTTTTGCTCAGATTATGATATAGAAAATTGTAATACTGGCTTATGGCTGTGATAAGAATTCCTAACAAGTTATACTCCAAAGTCTTCAAAGGATTTCAGTTCAAACCCCCATGTTAAGAGTGGTGTATAAGTATCATTTAATGTTGTAGCAATGCCAATGACATCATAACATTTCAATGGTGTGTTTTGAGTGATGAGAGTCAGAATAGCTGCTATATTGATTTACCTACTACCTTTACTAATTTTACGCCGGACCATGTTGATGTCCATTGTCCATGAAGAGTGAGATTTAAGCTTGAGCATCATTTTAGTTACCTATCAATCTTGCAATGCATTTGTTATGATTTTGTAAGCATTTTACAGGTGATGTTAGGGATGTTAATGCAAATTTATTTACTGATCAATTTCTTTTTTTTTTTTGCTTGGTTTCAGGGCAAATAATAAATTCCTGATTGTTTGGTGTAAAGGCCATAGACTGCAGCAATGGCTAGTCTGGGCCTGATATCCATTAGACAGCTAAGACTGAATGGCCATCATCTGAGCTCATTGCTGCAGCTGCCAAATGTCAGGCCCTTGAGTACAACGGAACCCCTAAGCAAGTTTTGGGAGAGAGACATCCGTGCTGAATACAAGAAGGATAGGCCAGTGCTGCCAGACAAGAAGCAAATCATCGAAGGTTTCACTGAACTAAAGAAAGAAGTACGCTTATGGAAGGATGAGGTGTGGGATACTTTCACCAAGGAACCACTGTACCTTGTCAGGCCAGGTAAGTTAATGATTATCTGAGCATAGCTGTGATCAGACACTGCTATCTTAAAAGACATGCTGCATTGAATTTTATGTTTCAAATTACAAAGTGTTGCAAATAAAGGTAGGCATGCTAGTATGCCGTTTTCTGCAGGACACTGGACAGTGCCTTAAGGTGTTCTCAAACCAGGAATGTTCATTTTATTTGTGTCAGTATTGTGTATCATGTATGCACGCTATTTTTCACATCAGCAGCACCATCAATTAAAACTCTAGTCTCCATGTGTCTTTTCTACCCGTCACACTGCCTGTTCGTGTTCGGCAGGCGAGGTTGACATGGCTTTCCAGCTGACTAGCGAGGCGGCGCTGCGCGACTGGGTGGTCACCTCCGACCGAGACAATGACGAGGGCAACAGCTGGGGCGAGCTGGTGCTCGGCAGGAACGGCAAGGCCGTGCTGCGCGGCACGCTCGACACGACGGTGCCTAGGGACGGCTCCAAACAGCGCACAGGCTACTGCAACATGCGCTGCCTCCGACCGCAGGTCAGTCCGCTGGGGAAGGACACGGCGTCACTGGGGTGTGTGGGACTGGGCGGAGGGTCACAAGACGGTCTGGGGCAGGGTGTAGCGCCACTGGGCGACGTTGGGAAGATCAGTGTCACTGAGTGGTCTGGGTAAGGACACAGGGCCACTGGACGGTGTGGGGCAGGACACACAGTCGCTGAGTGGTCTTGGGCACTGGATAGCATACCATTACCCAACCCCGTTCACGCTGAGCGGTCCTTCATCCACTCCCGAAGCCGATGGTCATGAGTAATCTGAGCGGCCACCTGGCGACTGCGGCCCGCGACTCCTCGCCGTGCCCTACAGAGGCCGCCAGTGTCTGTGACGCCCGGGCGCGCAGAGGTCGCTAACGTAAGAGGCAAATAGCAGACCAAGAGATGGACTGGTGGCATACATTTTATGCTTGCTATCTAGGTGCGGTTTGAAATATTTTCATCCTTATTTCCGTTGTACCGTATATTTCAAGTAATCGATGGCTATAAAGCAATCCATAGTTCATCATACATTGAAATCGGCTCATGTCCAAATTATATTTCCAGTTGATATTCTTATACCTGGCTGATGAGTGTTGATGCAGGTCAGAGTTGGGAAACGCTCGAAACCCAAAAGGAGATTCAGCGTGTTTTCAAGGCTAAAAGTCCTGCACTATGCTATCAGAAGATACGGCAGTGATGCATCACTTATACCTGGTCAAGCGATGCTACGGTCAATATGAAATACTTTTAAAGGGACCCTCCCACCTTCAAAAAATTTAATGAATTGGCATGAAAGTGATGTCGCTCGGTTCAGAAAGAGTAAAAACGAATATCTACCAAATTTCATCGAAAAATATTCACCGGTTTTCAAGATATTAGACTTTTACTTTTGTTTACTTTTTGGGATCTCCGCTGTTCCTAGCGACTTTATTTGAAAGCAGGGTTGTATACGACTCAATCAATAGCAATCAATTCAATCACGACAAATTTGGGAAACCAATCAAATCAATCAAGTCAGAGCAGTTTTCGGGAATTGATTCAATCGACTCAAACGCGACAATGAAAGGAATCAATCAACTCAATCAAACGACTCAAACCAAGATATACATTAGGTTTTTTGCCCCACCAACTTGGAAAAGTGTCCATAGCAGTCTGGTGTACCTATCTACCTACCTACCTACCTACAGAAGAAACAAAAATATTGTCATTTAAAATTATAAATTGCCATGCCATTCAAAGTTTCTATGTAATAAGGAAGGATACCTAGTGATGGACAGGTGGATCATGATATTGAGGTTCAATGGGTAGAATTGGAGCAGAAGTTTCATTTAATGGGTGCAAAATAACCCAGTAGTTGACTTCAACAAACGCCCCTTAACCCAAATCACCACCTTTCACTTAAAAGTTGTCAATTTAATTTTGGCCATATTCCAGCTAAGTCATCAGGCCATCTACCCCATGTAAAGCCCCCGTCTGTCTCTTATGTGAGTTATGCGGAGCTCTTCTGAATTGAACCCTGAACATAATGAACCTAGCTAGGTTACATGCCACACTGACACCATATTGATATGAAAGTGTTGAAAATGTGCTATAAATTTGACAACTTCATTAGGTATGCTTTATGAAGACAGCAGGAAAGCAGGTAGGTACCTACTTACCTGCCTAGATGTGTCACTGGCTACCAACAGTACCAACGAAGGTAGATAGGTTATATGTGAAGAATTCAAAACATTTTATTGCAATACAATTTGAAACTGTTAGGACTGGGGGATAGGGATGAGCATTAAAAATATATTTAGGTATAGGTATAGGTATATAGATAATGGACTTGGGGTAGCAGTATGCTATTTGTTGTCCATGTCATTGTTGGCAAGGAAACATGTCAGGGTACTCATTGAGGTTGGAGGTCACAGGTCACAGTTGGCTTTGAGCTGGAGGTGCTTATCTAGCTTAGCTTTAAATGTAGCAGTGGTGTCAGCAGACACAACATCATCTGGTAGCTTGTTCCAGTCATTAGCCACCCTCTGTGAGAAGAACCTTTGTCTGGCTTGATGGACTGACTGCTCCTTGTGTAATTTCATATGGTGACCTCTTGTGTTTGTCGTCCTCAGTTTGAAAAACTTCTCTCTCCTCACATTGAGCTTCCCTGACATGATTTTATACGTCTCAATCAAGTCGCCTCTTTTTATCCTGTCTTTAATAGATACGGTCTTCAGGACTTTTAGTCTTTCTTGGTATGGCCTGTGCTTTAACCCCCTCACCAATCTTGTAGCTCTGCGCTGGATGTTTTCGAGGAGACTGATATCTTGAACAGCTTGGGGACCCACAGCTTGTATACAGTAGTCCAGGTGTGGTCTCACATATGAGTTGAAGAGGCTGGTGAAGTTTGTTGCTGTGATTTGGTCAAAGGACCTCTTTATCATTCGGAGAGCTACCATTGCTTTGCTCGCAGCTCTTTGACAGTGACTAGTAGGTCGAAGGTCGTTTGTTATAGTCACCCCCAGGTCTCGCTCCTTATCTGTGACTTCTAGTTTGACTCCTCTAATACTGTAAGATCTTTTTGGGTTTTGTGGTCCACAGTGCATCACTTTACACTTTTGGGGGTTGAATTCAAGAAGCCATTGTTCAGTCCATTGCGAGAGTCTATCTAGGTCTGCCTGAAGTTGTTCTGAGTCCTCTGAATTTCTGACCTTGCGATAAATCTTCATGTCATCTGCAAACAGTTTTGCGTCGCACTGGACCAATGTGGGCAATTCGTTGACATATATCACAAACAGGATGGGTCCCAATACTGAGCCCTGCGGAACTCCGCTGGTCACAGCCTCTTCTCTAGATTCTTGGTCATGAACTACTACCTTCTGAGTCCTGTCCTGAAGAAAGTTTGTGATCCATTGAAGCACTCCTGCTTTGACACCATAGGCAGCCAGCTTCTTAACAAGTCTTCGGTGGGGCACAGAATCAAAGGCCTTTTTAAAGTCACAATAGATGATGTCCAGTCCACTGCTGCTGTCCAGTATGTGTGTCCAATCCTCCAGAGCCTCTAGAAGATTGGTCAAACATGATTTTCTGGGTACAAAGCCATGCTGTTCTTTGCAGATGAGATCTTTCTCTAATAGATGGTTGAGCAGGTGCCTTTTGATAATTCTTTCCATGACCTTACATGCATGACTAGTCAGACTCACAGGCCTGTAGTTACTTGCCAGTTTTTTGGAGCCTCCCTTGAAGGAATATTTAAAAGGAAATTGAAAGGACAGGGACTTTGGAACCACAGGATAAGTTAAGGACAAAGGAAGAAGAACAAGGAAAATTAAATGCCGTTGCAGTTGGTGCGACTGCGAAAAAACAAAGAAAACGTTTTGCCAAGAAGTATGCTAAGCTTTTATAAATCCTTATTCTACGTCTTTTGATTTTTTGGTAAGATGACGTCATTGATTATCATGTAGTATGGTAGATCATCATAAAATAAATCGGTTGTACAACACCAATTTCGTTTTAATTATTATTTCATTTGAAATAAAACCACTTAATAATATTCGGTAAAATATTTTAAGGAAAATGAAATATATTAAATATGTTATGCCTAGGCTCTCAGGAGAAAAGGATCAATAAACGTTCTGCTGCAAATTAAACAATGCAGCAAATTAGCTATTAATGTAAACGTAATTAGCGAGACGAAAACGGCGCTTTTGTTTCAGTTATTTTTGTAGGGGTTTCAGATATTTATAGAGTTCAGTGGGTTGTTTCTGAGGAGATGTGGAGATGTGAATTAGTAATTAATCACACTTTATTAGTATATAGGGCCTTGCACTTTATCATCTGGATTAAAAAAAAAGTTTCCTGCTGAGTGCAGAAAGGTAGGTAGGTGCATCGCCAGGTTCTATCACAGGATTGGAGCAGTTATTGCAGTTGAAAGTCAAAGTCAAGTTGGCTGTTCATGTTTAGGCCCTGTTCTTTATTTGGCCATCTACCCCATATTGCAGTTGTGATGACAAGCAGTTTTCAGTGTAGTTTTGTGATCTTTGATGTCATCAATTGGTGTCCTTATTTTTCGTCAACTAAAACTTATTTCAACTTTCCATTCAATCGACTCAATCATACGAGTCACTCTAATTTTCGGGAATCAAATCAGTCAACCAGTCGCTAAAGTCAAACGAGTCAGTCAACCAGTCATCTCGAAAAGTCAATCGACTCAATCCAATCAACTCAAAATACGCGTTGAATCAAATCAATCAATTCAATCGACTTGATTGGTATACAACCCTGTTTGAAAGTGCGGCATTTGTTGCGCGCAAAGCAGCATATACCACCGCGTGCTACAAAACGTTTTAGTCAAACATTTAACGGACGTTCGAAAGGCTGATGACGTCATCAGATTCCCGTAATGGTTAAGAGATAGGGACCACGCTGGTCCCACCCTGCAAGTAAAGGGAAGAAATTTCTTGAACACCATAAAGCTGCGGGGGTTGCGACCAGGATAAATGGTGGTTTCTGAGCCTGGCCGCAAACTTGGCTATCTCAACTCAAAACTAATGTTAAGGTGGGAGGGTCCCTTTAAGGTCACCGCTGACAGGTTATTGCTGATCCAGCGATTAATCCCTAATTGGTGCTCACCACGACCATTTGAGCTGCCTTTATCATTTATAGATGATAAAGGCAGCTCAAATGCTTTTATCAGTGTGATAGGCAGTGTGATACTGACATTTGAGCATTCCGACTACCTATACCTTCCCTGAAAAAGGGATACTTGATGCTAAGCTGATCATCTCGCAGTAATTTTTTTGCCCGTTTTTTTTTTTCGTCGGTGACCGACGTTCCACACCACTTTGGCGTTTGCAGAAGTCGTTTAAACGCGACAGTTTCTTCGACTGGTCCCAGTACACGCATGTGGTGCTCCGAGTGCGCGGCGACGGGCGCTCCTACATGCTCAATCTGGCCGCCATGGGGTACTTTGACATCATGTGGAACGACATCTTCAGCTACCCGCTCTATACCCGCGGCGGACCCTACTGGCAGGTGACCCGGGTATGTACCAGCGCCCAGCGTTTCCGCGATTTTTATTCTTTATACTAAAAAGATATGAGAAGATTTTCGCATCTAAAAAATTGTCTCCCAATTCCTGCCCTTGCTGATACTTATGATTTATGAAGTTACCTTATATAGTTTTACGGAAGTTTACCCTAGCTCATAATCATGACTATGATAGACTATCTGCGATAATTGTAATAAGGTGGCGAAGTACTAGAATGAGCAGCATAATTGAATATCGTAGAAGAATAACCGTATGCTCACTATCTTTTAACAATCCAAAATTAGCCTAAAATGAAAGAATATATTTCGGAAACGTTCCTTCTTCAGTTCAAAAGTTAACTATACAAGGCACAGAAATGTACAAATTATTGAACGTCACAAAAGCGCCGAATTAACTGATCCCACCAACGGATATTAATGACATTCTCGTGCCATATAAGTAGCACAAATTGTTGCGTCGGCATTGGATCAGAAAAGTCAAACGCTCTTGTGTTGTTGCTTGTCTTTCGGCATTTTTGATAGTGCTACTTATATGGCACGAGAATGTCATTAATATCCGTTGGTGGGATCAGTTAATTCGGCGCTTTTGTGACGTTCAATAATTTGTACATTTCTGTGCCTTGTATAGTTAACTTTTGAACTGAAGAAGGAACGTTTCCGAAATATATTCTTTCATTTTAGGCTAATTTTGGATTCCTTAAAAGATAGTGAGCATACGGTTATTCTTCTACGATATCTGCAATAATTGTTAAGTCGTCGGATCAAACCTCAAATTAACGTTTATTTTTGCGTTTTTGATACTCCAGAATTGAGATAAAAACGTTTTTTGTGATAGCCTTTTATATCATAGCGTTTAACCTAATTACTTGCCTCATTGATTTTACCACCATCCTGTTTCTCTCATCCGACCATGCATCTTTCGCCAGTGTTCTAAAATTGGATATTGGTTGGGTGTGCCGATGAAGAAAAAGAAATCCTAGGATGAGAAAAAAGGAAGTATAAACTGAAGTATTTTTGCAAAATGGTGTAAATGCCAATTTTTATGCCAACTGATAAACCAGGATTTCATGTCAGGATCTTGACAGGGTGTGAAACAAAAGGATGTGGATTGTGGGTGCATCAACTGTCAAGTGACATGTTAACTGGCTGTTAGGAATACATGAAACTTTTTCAGAGATGAAGTAAAGTTGGTCATTCATATTTTAGGGATGAAAATGTTTTCCCCATTAGGTGTGATTTGCCACCAAAAAGTCTGAAAAATGGAACACTGTCTTTCGCCTCCTTTATATCTGTCCTGAATGCAACTAACAACATGAGACTAAAATGTATGCTCTGCAACTTGCATGATAACGCATCAACTATCATCACATCGCACATGCCTATTTAGTCTCTTCGACCTCATTGGGGCCCTTTTCCTTGTCCACAGATCCCGTTCTCGAAGTTCTTCCTGACGAGCAAGGGTCGGATCCAGGACAAGCAATCTCCGCTAACACAGGACCGCATTACGAGCGTGGGTATTACGGCGGGTGGTGTGAGCGGACCCTTTCAGCTGGAGATTGACTACATCGGTCTGGAGATGGATCCGCGACACGGAGAGGACTTCGCGTATGAGATGTACCAGACGCCGGCGTACATTGCGGGAGTGTAGCGGTGACTAGTGACAGACGCAGCTCGGAGCCGCATAGACCGGCGACTAGTGGTGCTGTGGCGTTTGGAACGTTTTCAACGTGCTGTGATAAACTAGTGTATAAGATGAGAAGGGTGTGGTCAGGTGGAAACGTGTGGCGTGAACACTGAACATGGATTGTTGTATGTGCAGGATGGTTGCATTTGTTTTTAGATCGCTGGATTGCGATCGTAGATCACGTTAGTACTCAGGAGACCCATAATGCCTAGCTATCAGAGCTAGGCTTAAGCTATCATAATATGCTTCCCCGTCTAGTTTTGGCTATAATCATCATCATGTCAGAAATACGTTTTCAAGGGTCTAGGGAGATTATTCCCGCTAAATGTTTCGTTTTGCAGAGATTTCAATCACAAATGAATGGCGTTGATTTCGCCTGCGCCATTTAAGTAGTTACGTCGGTGCCAGTGCATGGATGCTGTCACCGCATTGGTGCAATAAATACAGCTATGTATGACGTGGTTTCAAATTAGGCATTCGAGAGAAGTTGCAACATGCAAGGTGCGCGCGGCTTTGTGCGCACGTTAAACTTTGGACTCTAAATTCTGCCATAGAATCGGAATTGCGCGATCGGAGGGTAGAGGGCAGGGTCATCGCAACAAGCTTCGCTTAGCGGTGGCTCTGTCCTTGTGAATCCTTCCCATCAAAAGGTTCGGACTAAATTTATAAATAAGGTGGTGTTTTAGATGTTTGATTTGCATTAGTGTAACCGGATATGAATAGTGGATCTCCACCTTTTAGATAGCTATTTCATATTTATTGCAGGAAACTTTCCATCGTTTTACCTAATCATGGCTGCTCACTTACGGTGCATCGCATTTGAGAGCACGTCACATTCGCAACACTCCGGTCGAAATAAGGAACCAACATCACAATGGATCACAAAACTGAATATGTAGGTTGTATAAGATATTTTACCATAATGCACCGATCAGTTGAGTCCTTTATGCTTTGCGCTCTGAAAGCATGGTTCCATATTTGCCATGCCACATAACATTATTCCAACTCTGAGGTTTCTTACAGCGATCCACAAAAAGTGAACTACTGACGCCTCTTTTAATGCTGACGTTAAGCCTGCTGAATCTGACAGATAATTGTTCAGCACTTGGTGCAGCATAGTATTTAACGCAATATGTGACTATAATATGTGACTATATATAATGACGGGTTCCGTCCCGGTGGGAAAGCACATTGTTGGGTTTGATTGATAACATGATAGGGTTCATCGCTGCTTAGTTGCTACGAGAACTGGCGCGCGATCGCCCTACCAACGCTCGGGAGTCCCATGTTGTGATGGCTAATCTTCACGCTTTAGCCTTTAAACAATTGTATTGTTTTTGTAACGGTGTAGTTAGGAAATCAAGGCATCAGGCGACGTCCACGTCGGCCGTCGCAATGTTTTGGTTTATTTGTTACCTAAATCTCAGCATATCCGTTTGCGAAGACCACATCGCATGTTTCTCTGTTGATTGTTATCACTCACGCATAACAGTAAAACGTCACAACACGTCTCCAACGTGAATAACAAATACAAAGGTGCTGCATGCACAGGCAGACAGCAAAGGCATAGCTGCGACTTGCCAGCAGCTTTTCATGAAACGCCAGACAGTTACACTCTACACATAGACAACGCGCATCAAGACACAACGACACTAAAAACATTGGACCGTCCGACTTCTAGTGATAACACCGCATGCATGCTCTATTCTGTCATGAGACAATGACTGGCAACTGGCTCAGTTTTCAAATCATTCATTGTAGTTTGACGACTACCATCACTAAGTTCCTGAGTTGAGCATTTGTCACTAAACTCGCCCTGCTCCTAACCATTTTTCACTACAGGTTTTTAAGCCCTCGGCAACTTTCATGCTTTTTGTGAAGTGAGCCTTTATGGAGAGCATGAAACTCACACGAAAACTCACACGAAAAACAAAATTTAATTTTCCTCCTGTTCCGGGCCTCAACGTCCACTCGCGCCTCGCTCGTAGACTGCTCTGCTCCCGTTGAGCGCTGGTCTATACGGTATTCCCTATGAACTTGGCCAGCGCCAGGTAGACACTGTTGGCCGTCAGCGGACACTTGACGAACGTGGCGGCGCAGTTGGCCCCCGATCGACCCGCTTCAGCGGCCTCCAGGATGGAGGTGCCGTTCAGCCACGAGTTGACGTACGAGTTGCTGCAAACGAACACAGTGCGGTGAGAGCAGTGGCGATAGGCGGTGAAATCTGAATGCATGGAACTTATCTTGGGGCATTGCTGTGTAAGGTATTTGGGATGTATTCCCGCGTAATTTAACTCGACTGGTGAATGAAGCTATCTTGAAGTTTATTGTTGAAAATGTTCATACGAATATCCTTCCTGCGGCTGCCCAACATAGCCCCCACACGGCGTCTGATATGACCTACCTGACCAGACCCTCGAGCAGGAGGTCGTGTGACTCGGCGTGACCCTCCTTGACGCTGAGTGCAGCCTCGCGCACGTAGGTGCACACGCCCCGCTGCATGCACGCCGTCGAGTCGATGTCGTACTGGGCCAGCGTATCGTCCAGGCGCGCCATCAGACCCGTCGTGGTCTCCTCACCTGGACGAGGGAGATGGGGTTAAAGAGATTTGGGGACGGTTCGAGACACCCTCCGTCTTATAGGTTACGGCAGCCGGCAGTTCCCTGCAACACGCCCGATGGTAATTGACAAAAAAGTGTTAACCTCAGTGGTTGGTTGCAACATTTTTGCGGATATGCGGCGAGGAACATGATTTTATTTCAATTGGTTCAGACCTGCTGTTTTATATCATTATTCTTGTCTAGATTCAACCTTGTTGGTGTGCTAACTACTAGCAATGCTCTCACTTGAGGTGTTTTCAATCCGTAGTACAGGATGATGTCAGGATGAGCGAGCTGTGCGTATAATTGCCCACAAAATGTTTTCCTTTCGAGCCACATAACATTGTCTTAGAGTCGCTGAAAGTGCTAATTTCTCAACAAATTACTCCCCAGCAAAAAGTCACATGTAGTAACACTGCGGGTTTCGAGACCGCCTCCTTTGTGAAGCACCATCCTAGGTGTCAACATCCACAAAAAGAGAGGGGTGCTGACACCCTGCCGGGGCGGCGAGGCGGACGGACGCCAGCCGTGTCCGGCGGGCCGTATTGGCGGAACTGAGTGTCGGTCACGGCGAGGGTACTCCCCAGTCCTCAGTGTCAGCAGGTCACAACGTGGCTCCCCAGAAAAGTGAAAGGACAAGCACGCACTCTTTGTGCGCCGCTTCCGCCGCTGCTTACTCACTCAATTACTCCGTCCACCGGGCCGGAAAGAGTGATACAAGAGGCGCGGTGTAAACACAGGTGTTATCAGCTGTGACCTGCTGGCCATTGTTAGTTTGTGTTACACTTGTTACCCAATAATGAATGAGGAACATAATGGACAATATCGAGTGATATCACTCCACTGTCGCTTTTATGACGGGTCAGAGTTGACTGCGTCATAATTACTGCTAGTTAGAATTGATCAAGAACAAGTTGAAATTACGCAAAAGTGATATCCACCATCGGTCGCTTCCTTGTCTGTATACTCGTCAGTCGTGAAATAATCTAACACAGTTGCCGCTATCCATTCCATCGTAGCAAATCTAATCTCGTCATTGACATTACATGTCCTCCATCATCTCCTCCACTAAGCCTCTTACCGTCATCTGCGCGTCCAAAGCCGGCCATTTTGCCGAGGTTGCTGAGGTTGAGGAAGGACGGCAGGCCGCTGGTGGTGCCACCCAGCTGTCCCACCAGCCACGGCACGGCCACCATGGCAAGCAGCATCGTCAGGCCGAGCGCCAGCAGGCTGGGCCAGTTGACGGAGAGCATGGTGGACCAGTCGGCGTACTGGCCCATCAGAGATCCAAGCGGGATGGAGAGGAACGGCACCGTGAACTGCAGGCCCAGCTGTGGAGGAGGGGGGGGGGGTCAGTGACAGCACCGTGAACTGCAGGCCCAGCTGTGGGGAAACGGGGGTCAGTTAGTGGTAGTCCCGTGGATTTTAGGTTTAACTGTGTAGAGGAGAGGAAGTCAATCGGTGTACGATGACCTACAGACTAAGAAGAGAGGACAGACGTAAATACAGATCCATTAGCAGCATTGCTGGGGTCCGGGTAGGGTAGGGTATAGACTATATAGGTCAGGCGATCTGATTATGTCATCTACTTCAAATAAATGCGAGAGTCACGCAGGCAAAGGGGACCGTGATCAGCGCTTAGAGCACAAATGCAACGTCGGGCTGTAAATCCTTGGCTACATTAATCCTGAGATTAGTGCAGACCCTGAACTACCTGCAGGTCCTAGGTAACCACCTGGTGACGAGCAGGTGCTGCTTCCTGCAGGTCCTGGTTACGTGCACCTCCTGCTTACCTGCAGGTCCTAGTCACGAGCAGGTCCTGCTTACCTGCAGGTCCTGGTTACGTGCAGGTGCTGCTTACCTGCAGGTCCTGAGAACTGGTGGACAGACCGAAGAAGCGGGCCGTCTCGTTTCCTCGCACAGAGTTGCCGATATCCTCCCCGTCATCCAGATACGGACTGTAGTCCTGTGAATGTCGGTGGAAGTCTGTTACGGAAATTGTGACAATCCTCTGCAAAAACATGGATGCCTACCTTCACTGATAACGTGCAGTAATCTCGGAAAAAATGAAAATCGGTCTTTAGCACATCGACTCGAGTTATATCTTGCCATCGAAGTTTATATTTTTACTTAAGAACATACTGCGAATTGGTTTCTCGCGTGTTCTTCTCATAATTTGATGTGAAATTAACCAGCATTGAATTTTTCCAATGATTTATTCTGGCTTTTTTAAACTTAGCTATACAACTATCAAAGCTTTCAAATACTTATTCCAACAGTGACTTGTTACGGCTTCCTTTCGTTAGTTTGAAATGGTTTGAACTTTGAATGACCAAGATGATGTTATCATCTATTATTAATGATGCTTGGGATACCTATCAATGTCATTTATCCCAACATGCCTGGCCCTTTTTACCTCGCTGATGTCCTCGTATGTCGTCACATATGGCCGACCAATCACGTGCTTTTCAGTTATGCTGCTGCTGCTTTTTCGCGGGTGGTCGGCGTATTTCTTCGCGTAGTAATCCGCTCTGCAGTGTAATATATTCGGGTATAGTGAGTAGTCAGATCCTGTTTTATATGGGGCGGTACAGCAAATGCTTTTTTAAATAAATTTAGTCCGAGCCCTTTGAATGGAAGGATTAATAAGGACAGAGTCCCCGCTAAGCGAAGTTTGTTGCGTTGACCCGGCCCTATAACCCTGATCGCGCAATTTCGGTTTTATGGCAGAATTTTGAGTCCAATGTTTAACGTGCGCACATAGCCGCGCACGTTAAAAAACTCAGTTTAAAAATGCTCACAATAAAATGAAAATTCAGACAAACAAGCAACAATACAAGGTCGCATTCGTACAGCCCACCCACCCATAAGGAAAACTCAACCTACACAGGTCAAGAACAAATACGTGACCCAACAGTTGAATGAAAGATCCCGACGTGAAAGTGTAGAGCAGCGAGGAGAACAGCGAACACGACTGGAAAGACCTTAGGCGAAACCAGTTAGGTACTGCATGAATGAAATTTCAGTAAATTTTGATTAGCAATATACATGCAAATCCAACGTTATACTCCTCGTCAATTGTGTCTCGGGAAGAACTTCACAAAAGACATTGTTTTTATTCATAGTGTCTGAACTTTGTTTATCTTATTTTGAGTTCGCACTTTTAAGATATCATTTCATTCTTTCCGGCCCTTTTTGTATGAAGGGTTATCTTAACATCATACCTACATGTCAGAAGCAATTTATTACCAGGATACAGGAAGCGTATTTTTAAGCTTATACCGCCCGTTGCCGTTTAAAACTTGATTTAATGTGCAGCTCACTCACCTGGATTCTCCCATCTTTGCGGCTCGCGGCAGCTGCTGCGTGGCTTCGTCAGCGGACTGTTCTGCGGTGGGCTGGGCCGTACCCAGACCAGCCACAGCCAGCAGGCCGATTAGCAGGGCGGCACGCATCATGCTCGATTTCTGGAAAATAGGAGATGCATGAATCTGTCATGCTTTTGTTTTGTTGATATTTACTGTTGATGTTTTTTAGTTTAACTTTCGATTAAACTTAAATGGGAGCGAATTTCTTCAGCCGATTTTCAATTCACCATTTTTAAGATTACCTATGTAATGTATCTGTCAATCATTTACGTGTTAGGTATTTATCCTGCTTGAAGATCGAGGCGTTCGCTCCAGTCCGCATGACATCCACTGCCCGGTCTGTGCTCGGCTCACCTGTTGGCTCGCTGTCCGATGTGTGCGCCGGAGGCTCCGCTGCCTGCCTGTTACAAGGTGTGCGCCGGCGGGTCCTTCCCCGTCCGTCCGCTGTGCTCGCTCCGGGGGCTACTATCACTGCTCTGCAGCTGACCGCCCCTCGCCGGCCCTATATGGGCCCTGTTCAGCTCCACTCGCCCGCTGACCGGCCGCCTTTCCATTTTCATTTCCGGACCCCCAACCACCGCCGGGTATAAGGGGTCCTATAGTAGGTCCGATGTATTCCTTAGATTGGGAGTTGGGGTGAATTCTAGACTTAATGCGCTTTAGTATGAATGTTTGTTTGCGTGTTTATGTAATTGCCTCCTATGCGTAGCATGGATTCGGATAGGTAGGGCTCTGAGGAGATATTCTACGCTCGTCCTCTTTACCAGACTGCAGATGTGTGCAGCGCCAGTTGGGCAGCGCAGCACCTCTCGCAGTTCCACACCAATGTTTTACAACTACCTATCTTCATCCATTCTGTATCCTTACCAAAAGGGAAACGTAGATTACAAGATTGCATGGCAGGTGTCGGTAGACTTTATCGCCTTACGTCACCGGTTGGTCTGAATTCCGCGGGGCATCGCTAACTTCTTCTCGTGTTTGGCCACATGTTCGTATTTTGTCAATCTCTAGTTTTGTATAACAGAAAAAGCTAGCGATATAAAATCAGTATGAGAATCCAGCCACGAGGCAACTCATACTTTGTTGCCATCGAGGATGGCAGGATGACTGGCGCCGGCGAGGGAGAAGGCAGACAAGAGGGCTGTCATTATGGTGCTAAATTAATTGACAAATTATAGACCAATCGGATTGGTCTAGAGGACCCAAAGGTAGGTCTAAAAGATAGGGAACGTTTATTTAACATACGTATCTCACAAAATACCTGGGAAACTATTTTGTTGATACTGCCTAAGCTCAAAACAATTTTTAATCGATCTTAACACGCGCCGAGCCTGGCAGGTGTTTGAGCTCTCTCCCCGTCAAACTTGGGTCCTGGGCCACGTAGCGACACATTGTAAGCGGCAGTGGAAAGATCTTTAAAAATCACGAAGAAGGCATTTCGGTTTGTTTTTAGGCTGGTTCAAAGGTCAGGTCATTAGAGATCATCATAGGTCAAAGGTCAAATTTTGCCTTTTTCAACCTTTATTTGACAAAGCGGCTTAATATTAATTTTATACACAACAACATCCACAAACAACGTGACTTTTCACCGTGGTCACCTTGTAGCTCACATAACACGAGGCCGAATAGAGCTATAGCGCGATTGATCGCTCTTTTCGAGCTCTTTCTGAATAAACTCTCAGATTTGACCTACGTTGTACAAATCAGCCTCCATAAGACTGTCCAAAATGATGTTTTTGTGGATGTTTTTTTTTAATAACTTCTGACACAATACCTGCACGCCATTGATTTTATCGGCGTCGTGTTCCTTTCGTTGAGACGCATCGAATGACAGATATTTTGACTTTAAAAAGGTCAGTTCACATTAAAAATATATTCAAAGGTCAATGTCATAACCTGACCAGTAAACGTCATTCTGCATATCAGTGGTGTTGGAATGTGGAGCTGAACATATGCAAGGTGTTTTCATAGCATGCCTCTATCAAAAGTTATTATAAAAAGAACTGATTGAGACATCTCCTGACCTGAGATGACCTCAAGGGCATACAGAGGGGTAATGAGTGTAATTTTCCCATTCAATGTACCATATCTACTCGGCAAATGATGTTTCAGATTGTTTAGCGCGGGTCTCTCAATTTCGTCTAAAATAGGCGCAATGCAGTTTCCTCTCAATGACTTATTATGGAGAGGCTGCAAAGTTGACCTGACTTAAGGTCACTGATATAACTCCGAGATACAAATATGCTGCTGCGTTTACCAATCGATGGAGTTTCAAATCCATCATTATGTCGGTGAAGCGATCGTTTTGTCAACTGGAACTTTTTTGATGTAAGGTCACTTGACGTTACTTGGTGACCTGACCTTAAGCGACCTGGGTATGGATTTTCACATGTGCAGACCATAAACTGATTGAATGGATTGAATTGAATAGACTGATTGACCTAGTGATTGCATGAAAAGTTGTGCAAAAAACGGAACTCCTCGCTGCCGTTGTTTTTCTCTTATGTAGATAGTTATGGAAAACCGACTAAGGGTGATCTAACACCCCTGCCCCCGGCCGGGCACGAGGTAACACATTCGGACTAGTGATGTCAATTACGGGAAATCGGAATACCGATAGCAAACCAAATACCAACCAAAACCACGGGAAAATACCGAAACCAAACCAACTTGGGAAACTGAGGGAAATACCAACTTTTTACCGATTTCTTAGCCTCTTATACATTAGTGAGGGCTTATGATACCAACAAAATACCAAACACATTACGATTGAAATACCAAATACCAAGTTAGTATCGGTTTGGTTATCGGTATACCAAAAAGTTGGTATCCGATTGACATCTCCAATTCGGACCACAACTGCAAGCTTATAGATGTGCATTAACAAGATTTGTATAAATAAGGTTATAGCAATACGACATCAAACACCCTCCGGGCCGTGGTCCAGTCTCAGCAAGCCGCTCGATAGCCTTCAGCTGACTTTTATTGGTCTGCTGGATTGGAGGCTTTTTCGCCTCTTCAAGATTAAAGGTAGTGTGCCACCTTCGAATGATTTCCCATTTTATTTTTCCTAGGATAAGAAGCTTCTGTTTTTACCTAATATCGAAAAAAAAAATCAAAAAAGGGCCTAAAATAGTGTTTTTTTTTCGCCTAAAAGTTTATCGGTTTTTCGATATGCATAACAACTGTAGTGGGCTGACCTGCAAACAGGCGTCGGCAACAATCACGAATGCGGCGCACATGTGACAATAAGCAAAGGTCATTATAGAGTTACGACGTACGGGAATGAGTTATCAGCTGTCTAATCGTAGACAACACAATGTCGAATTTAAACTGTAAGCCTGTATTGGTATTGTTTCTTTAATTTGGCTGTCGAACATTAATTTATGGTTTGAAATGTTATTTTATGTAAAACAATTGATATGAAACAGCCGTCTCTAAAGTTATGACCCCATCTCACCACATGAAAGTGGCAGAAATGACAATGATCAGCTGACGCATTTTTCTTGGCCGAAGTCAGAGCGCGCGGCCCGACGCACCACCACCGCACCACAAAGTATGAGCAGAAGCCGCGCCCAAAGCCAGGGCCCCGGTAACGTGAGGTAGCCGAGTCGGGGCAGCGTGCGCTGACCCAAGCCGGGGCCGCGGCTTTGGGCGCGGTCTATAACCGCATCCCCGGGCAGCCCCGGGCTATCACATGACACCGGGAGGACGCGCGGCCCCGGCTTCACTGTAAAAAAATCTTACAAGCCCCTTGTAGGAAAACCGCTGGCGCAAAAATGAGCATGCAGCGACGTGTAAAAATCGCCTCATATTTAGCTAGTAAGAGGGTACAAGCTTGTTTCGTTAGTAAATGACAAGCCCACGCCTCATAAACCGAGCACCCCCGTGTCAGCCCCTCGTTTCGTTATTCGGTACCTCGTTTGAAAACGAGGGCAAAACCAGCAGATCGGTACGCCGATTAGGCTCCTTAGCAGGACTCGCCTGGTAACCCAACCAGCTAGCGCCTGCTATTGCTGCCCAGTAGTAATACTAGCTCAATTGCGTCACTCCCCCCCCCCCTCCTTCTCCCCAGCCGCCCCTCCGACTGGTGAACGACCCGGCCAACGACAGCCACGACAGCGTGCCAGCCACGTTACAAAAAAAACATACACAAAAATAACGTTTATTACTTATTAGCATACGATACAAAATATCTAAATATATACATATTACAATATCATAGCGGAGTGGTGCAAAAGTTGATTCGAGTCACCACCAATAACATTCACAAAATAATACGGTTGCATGAGACACGATCGGGCACTTCCACGGGCTTTGACGCAACGGCACTTACAACAGGCGAGTGAGCAATTGTTGATGCTGCCATGTCAGGTACATTGTGCACTGTGCAGTCCATCAAATATTTGCCATACTTTGCAGATTCAAGCAAGTTTTTTTTTCTGGGCGAGGCTTACCAACAGAAATATCGCTGGCTTCCGGTATACCTTCATGTCTCAGTCTCCCACAACTTTAAGCAACTCTGCAAACAGAAAAGAAAATTAACTGCTGATTTTAAAATAACAGTGAGGATGGCTTTATTATCTACATCAACTGACTTTTGTATAAGATAAATCAATGTGAGGCAATATGTGTATTGTGTAGCTTACACATTTGGAAAAAAGGCTAGACAGCAACTGAAAGAAAGTCCGTCTTCCAACAGTCGGAATTCAAACGAAACAGTGGCCCACAACGGTCAAGGGGTGAATTCTATGACGCAACATGTGTTCAGAATATTACAAAATAAATAAAATGTCCCCCATTGCTACGTAAATATCATACAATATAACGTACCTTCGAAATATCCCAGCCCGAGAACTTCATAACGCACCGTGCCACAACACAACCGCACCAACCGCCGGCAGCCGCAGAACTGAACAATGGCGGCCGGAAATGACGGCCCCGCGCCGGAAGTGAAGGACGCGTTTTAGAAGCAGTCTCAGACTCGTCGCTGCTCACCGTAGCAGGGATTTATGAGGCACTACCGAATCAAAGTCGTTTCGCCTCATTCGGCAACACGAAAACCCTACCAGGACTAGTCCGATGATGAG